CCGCACTGTGCACGTGTGCTGCTGCAGACTGACTCCCGCACTGTGCATGTGTGCTGCTGCAGACTGACTCTGCACTGTGCATGTGTGCGACTGCAGACTGACTGCACTGTGCACATGTGCGGCTGCAGACTGACTCTGCACTGTGCATGTGTGCGGCTGCAGACTAATTCTGCACTATGCATGTGTGCGGCTGCAGACTGACTGCACTGTGCATGTGTGAGGCTGCAGACTGACTCTGCACTGTGCATGTGTGCTGCTGCAGACTGACTGCACTGTGCACGTGTGCTGCTGCAGACTGACTGCACTGTGCATGTGTGCGGCTGCAGACTAACACAGGACCCTGTGCATGCCAGCTAACTATTCTACCACTGAGTTACCCAACCTTTACTTTAGCCTTTAATAGTTGAATTAGTATAGTATAAAGATAAGATTTACTTTTCAGTGATAATCATTACTGATATTTTAAGCAATTTTCTAAACGTTCTATAAAGAGAAATACAGATGCATATATACCCATATATGTGTATAAATACTCTCTCTCTCTCTCTCTCTCTCACACACACACACACACACACAATAGTTGTAGATATATGCAAAATGCCTGCTTCATATGTGTTATATACAGCATAGAAGCACACATTTGGGAGTTACCAGTACATGTCAGTAATAAAACAAAGACTGGAAGAATTGTTCCGTGGGAATGAGCATAGACAGAACAGAGACACCTGCGTCTGGGGAAGGAAACCAACACAGGCTGAAAGAGCAGGAGGTAGAGAGAGGGCTCGGGGAGAGTGGGAGAGTGGCATCCGGAGAGTCCGAGAACCGGCAGCTGCCCCGGGATCTGGTAACACTAGAACCTCCGCTCACTTTCTGAAGAGCTACAGCGATGGAGGAGCCCGGACTGTGACTCCAGAGAAAGGAGCATGGGAACAACTCTCTCAAAAGTAACAGAGACAGTAGCTGAGAAGGGGATGTAGTTTTTGTTGCTGCTTTCAAGATTAGTTATAATAAGTTTTTCGTATAAGGATGGAAAATAATCTAAAAAAGAGAAAAATGCAATGAAACAGGAGAGGAAAGTACTCTACACTAACACCAAGGCAACAGGAAAGAACAACCAACGGGAGATGCTATGGGCAAAGGGGTGGGGGCTCCCGAGGTCAGGCTCAGAACAATGGCAAAGCTTTCTGGACTCAAATGTGAACGTTGATACAGTTTCCTGTTAGGTAAAACCAGCATGCACACACAAGTATCAACTGTCTGAGACGCCCTACAAAGACCTGCTACCTAGATTAACTAATCTGCCTCCTCCTCCGGCTGGTGGGCTGCTGGTTGTACATCTCCATCAGCATGCATGGGCCACCTGATTCCAGCTTTTCACTTGGTGTGTCTGTTATTTCCTCATTCCCGGGCATTCTAGTTAGGGCAATGCCTAAGCCATCACAGCATAAAGGGATTGCCAAGAAGCCTGATAACCTGAGTTCAGCCCTGGAATCATGTTCAGGTAGAAGGAGAGAGTCAACCACACAAAGCTTCTTCTCACCTCCATATGTACAACAAGACTTGGAAAAAAAATAAAAAGAAGTATTTACTTTGGGTTTGTAAGACGGACCAGCAGGCATTTACACACAGATCTGAGTTCAATACCAGCTCTCACAGCTGGTGAAAGAACCAACTCCCGAGAGCTGTCCTCTGACCTCCACCCCATCATGGCATGTGGGTGCCCACCTTACCCACACCTAGAGTAATGAAGACAACTTTAAAGGCGCGAGACCTCATGCACGCTCGCGATACTGCGCCCGAGCTAGAAGGTCTGGACCTTCGCCTCCTGTCAGTGACAACTGCAGAGGACGGCTGTGCAAGGACAGACAGGGCTCGTCTGCAGGGCAGCACAATCCCCGCTCACTACCTCCTCTGGCTTCCGCTCACACCCACTCCCCACTCTCACACCTATAATCCCAGCTGTCTTTGAGTTCTGCTCTCTGGGAACGGAGATTTTACAAAACATTTTAACAGACCAATGACAAGGCTGTCTCAGAATTCACAACAAGCTAAGCAGTGCTCCTGGGACAAGTATCCAAGTCACCAGCGATCCTGGCAACCCTGCCTTGCTCCCTTCCACAGCTCACCAAGCCCTTGCTTTCCGTTCTCCAGGTCAGTTCCTATACTGAGTCTGTATACCCATTTGTCATTTGTTTTATGTAATCATATAACCATCTAGAATTTATCTTAGAGACTGATACACAATAGGATCAGCCTCTGGTTTTCACCTCAGTACATTTTAAATTTGTCTTTTTATTTTAAAATAAATTCTTTTCTAACTCGAAAGGCTACCTTTCTACTGAGACTTTGTTTCTAAATATGTCTGGTGGGCCATTATGTTCCAAAGAGCTATTCAATCTATTATTTTAAATCAAAATTTGATTTTAATGAAATAATAATCTCAATAACCAATTATAAAAATGATAAATTATTTTATATAATTGGAGAGACGGCTCAGCAGTTAAGAGCACTGGCTGCTCTTCCAGAGGTCCTGAGTTCAATTCCCAGCCACCACATGGTGGTTCACAACCATCTGTAATGAGATCTGGTGCCCTCTTAAGGAAGAGACCTGGTTAGTCATCCTCATCAATTTAAACCATGAAACCCAATATGGACAAGTTCAACAGAACTGCCGTATATGGGCGCTCATGCATGCTTCAGCATTGCCAGGGCATAAACTAATTTTTTTTTATTTTTAAACAATTTTTTTTCAAATCGTGCATGATTCCTGTTCTTTCTTCACACTGCAGATCTGAGGCTCTGGCCCTGATGCCCCGCAGTTGAGCTCATCTGGGCTCTCGTCAGCTACCACACGGCCCCACTCACAGTGACTCACTCACCTCAGACAGGCTGCTCATTTCGATTGCCGTTATCAGATTGTTGTTCACGAGGGATTCTATTTCTATAAGCTTCTTATTCTGTACATGCAAAAATAAAGACGCCTTTGAGTTAAAATTCGGAGTTTGTTATAATGATACCACACATTTATGGAGAGCATCAGTGTAAAAAGAGTCAGTTTTAAAAATGGTTGTCTTTATTCTCAGTTTTTGAGACAAGGTTCCACACTGTAACCCAGACTGGTCTAAAACCGACTACGTAGTGGAGACTGGCTTTGAACTCATGGCAAGCCTCCCGCTTCAACGTCCAGACGACTGGAATTACACCATGAACTCATGGCAAGCCTCCCGCTTCAATGTCCAGACGACTGGAATTACACCATGAACTCATGGCAAGCCTCCCGCTTCAACGTCCAGACGACTGGAATTACACCATGAATTACCTCATGGCAAGCCTCCTGCTTCGGCGTCCAGACTACTGTGGTTACACCAAGCAGTCAGGCCTGGCGACTGTTCTCAGCTGAGTGCACACTGAGCTCCAAGGCTACTGCAGTGAAGAGTCAAAACAGCTGTGCACACACACAGACACACTGTGAACATTTACACCACCAGTTATAAATGTTTGCTTGTTTTTCCGTTTTCTCACAGAAAATAAACACAGCTGGTCAGGAATAGGAATTTAATCGTTGATTTATTACAGGCCTTTTTTTTCCATTTTAAGCTAATTTCTACTACATTACTACAACTTCACTAGATACTAGCTCTCACTACTGTCTGCCTGAGGTTGGAGGTGGGTGTAGCCAGTGAAGTGCCAGGCTGAAAGTGAACAGAGACCCCGTGGTTTCTAAGCTCACCATTTAAAAAGGCATGGATGGCCAAGTGTTGCTGATTACGGTGTTATGCTGGTTTGTAGAGCACACAGCATGCGTTTAGAATAAGACTTAAGATGTCTATTCTACTACCAAGAGGTGTCTGTCCTTAAGCACAGATTTCCATGGCATGCTGATTTTCAACAGTTCTTTAGGACTGGAACCTAAAAACATTGTTAGAGTTTCTACAGCGATGTAGTTAAGAGATTCTATTGTAATGCAGAGATCAAAGCAGTACAATTTCCATACCAAGTTACTTAGCTTGAGGCGAAGAAAGGTATTTTCAAAATTCAGTTTATCTACTTCTTTTTGTAATAGCATCTTCTCGGTAGTGATTCTTCGAGAATTCTCTTTCTCTCGACTTAGAGCCTGAGCTAAGGCTCTGTTGTTGTGCTTTAGAGAGATCTTGAAAATAGATGAATTGTCTGCAGGAATATTTTATAAGAGTTAATACCAAACTTGTACTTTATATTTCCTTAATAAAACTGCACATTTCTTAGTAAAATAATTTCAGAAAAAAATGCAATTTATTTTATAAATATTAAATGATGACTGGAAAAGAACAGCAATACACGTACAGTTCCAGAGAAAGACAATATCCCCAAGTTTGAAGCTGAAGAAACAAAAGCTAGAGAGAAGCAGAGAGGTGTGCAGCTGGGGCAAGGGAGCGGTGGCTCTGCAGACAGAGCAGTCACGGGGGTCACGGGGACTGCGACTGTCCGCGTCCATCTCGGCCGAGAAGCAGGCTGGGAGGCTGACCCCACAGCGCTCACTGGAGACCCACAGGAGCTAGGGCAACCAACCTGAGTGTTTACACACCTTTCTCTGCTCCACAACTCAATAAAACCGTCTATGCTCGCAAATCCCTTCTCTTAACCCTCAAATGAAAGGACTGATTGTCCAGGACCTGTGAGATCTTCACCTCTCCCCAAAAGATTATTCCTTTTCTAGTAATCGATTGCAATCAAAACTTGACCTCTTTTACTGAACAGAAATAGGTCAGACTAAGTGAAATCAGTACTGAAGTGAGAATAAAAAGATTCAGTGAGGATTTAATGGTTATAGTCACCTGAAAAGTTTATGTCTCACCAGATGGTGGTGCACGCCTTTAATCCCAGCACTAGGGAGGCAGTGGGAGGCGGATCTCTGTGAGTTCAAGGCCAGCCTGGTCTACAAGAGCTAGTTCCAGGACAGGCTCCAAAACTACAGAGAAACTATCTCAAAAAACCAGAAAAGAAGGAAAAAAAAAAAAAGTATTACATTCCTTTAGTATAGTTAAATATCATTAGAATTTAGATTCTACTACATGCCAATAACCTACCTACTCCACAGTGTAACACACACACACACTCGGACAGTGTTTGAGAAATGGTCTTGCTATGTAGTCGAAGGCTATCCTTAAAATTGTGATTCTCCTGCCTTGATTTCTGGAATTACAGGCATGAGCTAATATATCTTAATAAAATAAGTTTTGTTAAATATACCCTTTTTAGATATTCAGAGAAAGTTTGGAACTCTTCAGAAACAGACCCCACAGCAGGACCGTCTTTGACACAGAGTGTCTCACTCGGCCCTCCTGGGCATACCCCAGGGAAACAGACCGCAGCTGTAGGATTCTCAGAAGCTCAGAAAGATTAACAGCTTCTTGCTGTTTTCCAAATAGTCTTGACAAACGAAGAAAGACAAGTCACTGTGGGAGGAAGGCAATTCACAAGGTCTGCCTACAGATCCTGATAGGTGAATGTCATGATTTCAAGATACTTAGGAGTCTTGGCTCTGCCATAACTCATGGGTGTGACATCAGCAGGATATGTCCCTATGGAAGGTAGTTTCCAACGTAGGTAACATGAGTATAAATGATTGAGATAATCTGTGGGAGCAATAAAAGTTTAATCTAGGGAGTTTGCCACCTCCATGGTTTTTATTTTGGGAAGTTTTATTTGTCTGTTTGCCTTCCTGACACCTTACTGCCGGCACTGATAAAATCTCACTTCCAAAGCGCACAGTTCCATCTTAGCCTTGGCCTGTAGGAAACCATGTACTACCACACTCATCGTGGCCAAGAACCTCTAGGTTACTCACTGCCTGCCACAGCACACACCAGACCAAATCTCTTACTCTCTTTAGCTCTTTTCCAGAGAAGTCTTCGCAGGCTGAGAGGTAGCTGCCTCGGGACTCCCCAGCCACGCTGCTTACAATTCAGCTGTCACCAAGGGTAAATTAGCGGTCCCAATCAGCAGAGGCGCTGGAGGCCATGGAAATATCGAATGGAAAAGGTACCAGCTGACATTTTAGTAGTTTTCTATATTTGCTTTAAAAAGGTAGAAAATGAATGAAATCTTCAGAGAGGCAAAAGGTAAGTGAAGTTAAAGATGAACTGAAAGGCGCTTACTTAATATTTTTGTTTTGATTTTTGAAGCAAGAGAAACATTTAACTTTGTCTTTGCAATTCTGTCTTTCACTCGTCTCTTGATTCCTGAAGTAAGAGTGTCAGCTTCCATCACCGGGTAGTCCATCACTAAGCGGAAGGAAGAAAGGATGGGGGAGACTATTAGTTAATTACTGGTGAGTAAGATAAGAGCAAACGGATACATCCTAAAGAGCAACTACCATAATGTAAAATAAACTGTGTACATAAATATTTACAAAATCCTTTGCATATAAAACCTGAAAACAGAAATTTATATGATCAGGAGAACTAATGAATTCCAAAAAGGTAAATACTTTGCTTTGTTTTCCCATTCAAACCTATGTCATATGCCTGGCAGGCACTCATGGGTAGGGCAGGTGACAGCAGGGGGTCCCTAATACCACAGAAGGAATATCCAGCCAGGGACAGGTACTGTTTTGCTCCTGGGCAAACGTGGAACCTTAGGTAAGAGGGGCTTAAAAGGAGCACAAAATAACTAACTAACTCAGAAGTAGAAAAGGGCTGGGAGAATAGGCTTATAAGCTTAGCTACGTCTACTAGATTTACGGCCTACTAGGTTTACAGCACAATAGGAACAGGAGGATACATAACTATGCAATCTGACAAGAATACTGACAATCACTTAATGTATTAGAGAAGTGGTCAGTGCCTGGGCAGAGAAAACGGACCACAGAGCCCTTCACTGGGGTGCAGGGGTGCTGACCTTTGTGTTTAAATGGGGGAACCTCCCAAATCTACACTCCCTCCAGGAAACGTCCTGTCAGCTGCTCCACTACTATACAGGACACCAGACAGGACCAGAAAAAAATATACAGAACACTAGACAGGACCAGAAATGAAAGTCCCCTCGTCACATACAAAACAAGGAAGGAATATTCAAAGCTGCAAGGGAAGAAGACCAAGTCACAAATAAAGACAGACCTATTAGAGACTTCTCAATGGAGACTCTGAATGACACCCCAGATGACTATACCCGCAAAACTTTCCATCACTACAGAAGGAGAAAATAAGACATTCCATGAGAAAACCAAATAAATATATTTCATTTATACAAGTAAATATAGCATCCAAAAGAACACAGGCAATAAATTATCCCAGACCAGGAAATACAAAATCAAAGATGATTATCAACCCATAAACAGTAGCCTACAAAGGCACATAGCCAATAAACTATAACCCCTAACACACTCGAAAATAAACCTACTATAAAAAAAATCAGCTGTCTTTCAAATACTCCAGTCCAAAATAAATACATAAATAAATTCCAGTGGAACTTTCCTTCCCCATCAGCTGATCCCCTTTAATTTCATAAATGTCGCTGTCGCCCATCCAAATGCTTGTGTTTCTACTAGAGTTTTCCTTAACTGCCCAGCCCAACTCCTACATCAGTGACTTCACCAAGCGGCATGAAGAGAAGCCAGAAGCAGGCCCCTTGAGGTACGATATAGACACCAAAACATTCTGGGCAACGGTTACGACTGTTTTGGGGGTCCCAGCTCGAAAGTGTAAGGAAATAAAGGCCAAGTCCCTCGTAGGTGCTGGGCGAATGGATGTGTGCGGTGCCGACTAGGGGACCGGGCTACGTGCTCCGCACTCAGGACTCCTCCGTTATCCCCTGGCCACTCTCGTGCAGCGGGGGTCTCCCCTAGCCGAAAACGCAACCCCGCCGTCCGTGCTCCTGGATGAGATCCTCCATCCAGACAACGTCCCAGATGCGAGCCGAGCCGGCCGGAGGCTCCAGCCCGCCGGGAGCGTTCGGCGCGCCAGTCCCGGGGCCCAGACCTCATCCCTCGGGGAAGGCACTAACCTGCAAGCCGGTGGTGGCGGCCGCAGCGGCCTCACAGGCGCCGACTCACCGTCCCCGCAGCCTCGGAGACCGCCTCGCGCCCCGGGAGCTCCGCCGCCCAGCCGACTCGTCCTCCGGTTCAAACTCCGCGGCGGTTAGCGGCCGACGCCACAGCCAATAGGAGTGCGAAGAGGCGGTTCAGAGGCGCGCTGGTGCCCGGAAGTGGGAGCCGGAAGGGGCGGGACGTGCGGCGGGGAGCCGAGTGGGCGTGGCTGGGCTGGGTGGGCGTGGCTGGACGAGCCCGGGGCTCCACCTGCGGGAAGAGGCACTCACTGCCCATAGATCCGGTACCCTAAAGGTTGCCAGGCAACTCGAATCTCTCTCAGGACTTGGGATCACTTGCCTGCGTCCAGTTTCTGCATCCTTGCCTCCCAGTAGTGATCCTCACTTCTTGCTCTTATAATCCTTTCAAGAGCGGCGGTGATGTTCCTTTTTAACAGGACCGTGAGACTAGTATTTTAAACTGTCACAGCTATATTTTAAAATGTGTGAGTCCCACACTCACAGGCCTTGGATTAGGCATTAACCACACCCAAACACCTGCTTTCACTGAGAGCTCTTTTTTTAAGGGGGGGGGGTAGCTAAAGAGGCTGCTTTCTGACTCAGGCTGAAAATCGTAGCAAATGACCTTGCAAGTGTAGCTTTTAAGGGGAGAAAAAAAAGGGGAGGTCTGTGTTAGAATGGGCTAGGGCATGGTGGTAAAGGGGACAGGGGATGAAGAAGAAGGGGCCAAGGGAAAGGGGGAAGAAGGATTTGTCCTGAAGAATAGAGAGGAGACAGATGTAGCCCCGAGGCAAACAGTGGTTTATAAAAGTAAAGGCCGGGGTGGGGGGGACCCTAAGTTAGTTTTAATTGGGCATCTTAATAGGTGAACCAAAAGGGGCTTTTGATTGCTGGGCTTTGGTAGTCAGCCCCAGGAGGACGAAGTGGCCAAATAAGGGACTAGACCTTGGTGACTAACTTTAGGAAGGTAATCTAATGGTTTTTTAGCAAGACAGAGAGAATGGGAAAAAGGGGTAAGACCTGTCAGAGAGAGTCAGATGTTCGAGTGGGCTAGTGTCCCTTCAGGCAACATACTTGTAAGCTTGAGAGGTTTGCTTATAATAAGCCCTGGGCTGGTATGGCTAGGTGCTGCATCTCGGGAATGTTCCCAGGTGCAGTCCTGGTCCCACACTGGACACCGGTATCTAAAATAAAAAGCCTCTTCTTACTAAAATTTATTTATGGTGCTGGTGAATCTCTGAGTGAGCCCAGAACCATAAGACTTTTTTAATGTTTATTAATTTATTTAAAGTATATAGTATGTATACTGCATTTCCAGCATGCCAGAAAGGGGCACCAGATCTCACTATAGATGGTTGTGAGCCACCATGTGGCTGATGGGAATTGAACTCAGGACCTCTGGAAGAGCAGACAGTGCTCTTAACCTCTGAGCCGTCTCTCCAGCCCGACCCATGAGACTTTTGATGGTTCATTTTGCTTGTCAGCTTGACTGGGTTTGGAATCACCTAGGAGACACACCTCTGGGCCTATTTGTGATGATGTTTCCCATAAAGACTTATTGGAGGAGGGAACACCCACCCTGAATGTGGTCGGCACCCAAAACCTAGACTGGAATCCTAGACGGAATGGAAAAGGGGAGAAAGGAGAAGGTGGCAGAATGCCAGCATTGATTTCTCTCGACTTTCTGATTTCAGTTGCAATGTGATCACTTCCTTCAAGCTCCCAACTACCACACCTTTCTTGCCATAACAGATTCACTGTATAACCGTTTCCCCCGAGATTGAAACCTTACATCCTGCAGGAAGCTCTTTAAACATAAAGGCAAGCAACTCGGAAATAGTCTCAGGAAGTCCCTGAAACGGGCCAGATTCACTACGCCCCCTCCCTGCCAGAGTAACCAATAGGAGCCAAGTGTTTGAGGGCTTTGAGATGCCAAGATTAGGCAGTGAAGTCAAAGGCAAAGGAGATTTTTTGTGGAGAAGGGCTGCAAAGACTGAGACCAGAGCAGCTGCCTGCAACAAGCAGAAACCAGGGGAGCTGCCTGGGTGAGGCTTACACCAAATGAGGCACCTGGAAGGGACGCTCTCCGGCCTGCTGAGCTGCCTGCAGCGAGCTCCAGGTTCCCAGCTCTGTGAGCTGTCACCCACGCTGGGGTGGGCTTTGGAGACGCAGCTGCCTTTGGGTCTTTTCTGCTCCTGTAAGTAACCCCTCACCCATATTTCTGTAAACATCGCAATAAAACTCGCTGGTTCACCCAGCTGGACTTAGGTGGTATCCATATGTTGGTCTGTTGTGGGTTCCCAGCAGGGGTGAGTCAAAATGTGTGTTCTGTCTCCTCCCAGGAAATGTTTGCCACCAAAGCATGTGATGCAGAGTATGAGAACACCAAGGAAAGACGCCACCGGACAAAGTTTCAATTTAAAATATAAAAAACAAGTTTTTGCTGATACCAGTGTCACCACAACAGCGTCCACTGCAAATCTGAGGACTGCTGCAGAAGGGGAAGACGGGCTGGAGTTTTTAAGGCACAAGCCACCACTGTCTCAATTTTGTTTTATATATATATATAACAGGATTTTCTGCTTTGTGAGGTATTATCACGGTTGTTTGTTTGTTTTTCTTTAACAAACAAACAGAGGTTAAACAAGATGACATAAGCAAAATGAGAGTCTGGTTAATATTTTAGGATAACAATTACATAATAAGTGTAAGGGAGAGCAATTTGGGGAGATGAGCCAGGTGGCTCCGAGATCAGCTTTCGCATTAAGATTGCTGTCAAGACTCAAGCTGAGGATGCTGACCTTCGTGTCACGGTCTAGACATCCTGTGGTTAACAAGGCTAAGAAGAAGGTTCTTCCCGCTCCCAGGTTTTCCTTTGTTACACAATAACTTAGCTTGGAATGGAGCTACCTCCTTCCCTAAGGTGCTTGCCTCAGGTATTTGCCGCAGCAACAGAAACAAATAGCTAATACATTTAGCAACAGACTTCACTTTGTAGCTACGACGCTAACATTTAAAGTAATAAGAAAAGGAGAGGGAAGTCAGAGGTATCACAGATGTCAAAAGCAGGGCAGCGGTTCAAATACCTTTTCCTGTTAAAGGCTTGCAGGTTTTGTTTGCTTGTTTTTAGAGCAATTGGGAGGGTACAAGAGCTTCGGAAACTGTCTAAAAGCTTTTGGAAAATGTAAATTTCTTCCAGACACCCCTAGAAACCTGAAAGTATCATAGAACTGAGCGGAATTTAACTCATTCTCTGTTAGGTTCCCATTGTCGGGCTTTAGAACGACGGATGGATGCAGGAGTCCTGGGGTAAGTGTCTGGAGAAAGGGTTAGTTGTGGCTCAGGCTTTAGTTGGCTGTGGCTTGTCGTCAAGGCCTCATCTGTAAAATCAATGGATTACCTGTGGCTTTGTGGAATGGTAGTATTGTCACCTGTATTGTCACCCGTGATGTTTTTATATGAGGCTCAATTATTGTTAACTAAATTAACAGAGTTCCCGGTCTAGTTGTGACACCCCCCCACCCAGGTGAACAGTGCCTTTGCTCTTCCCCAGTTTTCCCGGATTCCTTCAGCGATGCATTGTCTGCTTTTCTATCCCTAAGGCGGAATGCCAGGCAATTAAATTTCGATTGTCTTGCGACACCTACCCACACACCCAAGGAAGCTGGGAGAGATGAAGGGGGGGGGGAGAGTTTGCTACGTTTAAAGAAACCCTCCTTAACAAACCAGCATGACCGAAATAAAAAATCATCGGAGAAAAATGATCGCTGAGAGCAGGAGCCCAGCAAAGGACACTGCAGATCAATAAACCAATAAAACAAAGCAGAAACAGTGTAGTTATTTCATTTAGCCACCTGATCTTATTTGTAGTCGTCTGGGAGGTAAAACTGCTCCGTTACAAATTATGACTGCCTGACAGAAGCGAAAGATATTGTGTGGTATAAAGCATCTGTGGAGAAGACAGAGAGGGGCCTTGGCGAAGGGGCAAGGCTCGCCACAGTCAGATTCCCTGCCTTAGCTTTTCCCCATTGCTGTAGTAAATACTGCAGAAGCGGGCCAAAGAAGCGGGGGTTGTCTCGTAGTTTGGGGGTACAGTCCACCGGAGTGTGGAAGTCATGAAGGACCAAAGCTTAAGACAAGTGGTCTCATTGCACCCATAGTCAGGACGCCCAGAGAGGGCTCAGCTCAGATTCATTTTCTTCAATCTGGGACTCCGACCCATGAATGGTGCCACCCACCTTGAGGGTGGTTCTTCCTGCCTCAATAAACTCGGTCTACGAACGCGCTCACAGGTAGGGCCAGAGAGAGGCAATTCGGCATCATTTCAAATGGACAATATTAACCGCTACACATCTAGTCGTTGTCAACTTGATACCCAAACTTTGAGTATCCCCTTTGAGTCATAACTTTCCACCCCCCTTTCCCGTAGACTCAGGGCCAGCTCACAATTCAACATGCATTCCGTTCAACGTCAAAGTCCCCGCCATCCGCAACAGTTTCATCGCTATTCCAAAGGGTAAGCACAGAGTGGTTTCTGAGATGGGAATCTATTACCTGTGAGCTTGTACAACATCAATAAACATGTTACATACTTCCACATACAAAGGAGTATAGCAGTGAAGGATAGAGTCAAAGCGAGACTGGCGAGCACCAAAGCTTATGGTTCTGCATTGGACATCTGCGGATTGGGATGGAGCCTCCTGTGCTCCAAGGACTGTGGCCAGCCCTGGCCCCTTTATCTCTCTTTGGTCTGGCTTCTTCTGTGCTGTACTTTCTTAGGTGGATGCCCTATGGTCTTGGTATCTTAGCATCATGAAGTGAATGGATCCTTGGGGCCCCATTGCAGGGAATCTGATCCTGCCACACATTGCCAGGCCTGGCCCCAGTGGCCTTCTGGGACGTTGGCATAAGATTTCTTGACCCGCTCATCTTTGTGTCTCCTCTACCGATAAAACCAGTGCCGTGTGGGTGTGGGTGATGCTTCCAAGTTGTCCCGCTCCAGATGTAGCTTGGCCCTTCTGGATAACAGCTGCATCAACCTTCCAATGCGCCCTCCAGGTCGATTCTAGAGAAATGCTGCCCTGTAAGATTGTTTATGAGCAGAGAACACATTAAATGGCAAGTCTCAGATTAGGAGTCTTCATTTGCTTTTTTTCTTATGTGGATGTGTGTGTGTGGTGTTGCATGTGTGGTTGCATGTGTGTGGGTGCATGCGTGTGCATGGGTGCATGTAGAGGGCTGAGATCGCTATCAGGAATCTCCCTCAATTGCCATTCTATCTTACTCGTTGGGGCAGGTCTCTTAATCAAATCCAGAGTCCAGGGTTTGCAACACAGCTAGGGATGGTGTTTGTTTTGCTGTGTGTTTTTTTCCAGGAACCCCTTGTTTTCACCTTCTGAGGCTACAAGTACATGTAGGCTGTCACACCTACCCGTTATTTACATGGGTTCTGGGGATACCCATGCTACATGGAAGAGATGTAACCCTTGAGCCCTTTTATTAATTGTTGATCTCAATGCCTGCACTAATGATGTTCTCTTCAGAAAGTCTTTTCCTGTGCCAGTGAGTTAAAGGTTATGCCCCGTTTTCTCTTCGATCAGACTCAATGTATCTTGCTTATGTCGAGGCCTTTGATCGATTTGGAACTGAGTTTTGGGCATGGATTTGTCTACATGGCCATCTAGTTTGACCAGCACCAACGGTTGAAGATGCCGTCTTTTTCCAATGTGTGTTTCCTGCTTCTTTATTAAAAAAAAAAATCAGGTGTCCACAGGTATGTGGATTTGTGTCTAGGTCTTCAGTTTGATTCCATTGATCAATAGGTCCGTTTTGTGCCAATACCATGCTGTGTTTATTGCTGTAGCTCTAGATTACAACTTGAAATCTAAGATGGTGACATCTTCAGTTCTTTTATTTTTCAGGGTTGCTATAGCTATCCTGAGTTTTGTGTGTGTGTGTGTGTGTGTGTGTGTGTGTGTGTGTTTTCATATGAAGTTGAAAACTGTCCTCTCAAGATCCATGAAGAGTTGTCTTGGAATTTTGGTGGGAACTGCATTAAAAGTATAGATTGCTTTTGGTAGGATGGCCATTTTTTTTTCTTTTTTCGTATTAATCCTACTGACCCATGAGCATGGAAGCTCTTTCCGTGTTCTGATACCGTCTTCAATGATCTGAAGATTTTTAAGACAGGTCTTTCACCTGCTTAGTTAGAGTTGTCCCAAGATATTTTATATTATGTGGGGTCATTGTGAAAGACGTGGTTTCCCTGATTTCCTTCTCTGTCCATTTGTCATTTACTGTCTTTAGGTTGGACTTTTCCCTCTAGCACCTTCTATAGGCCTGCATTTATTTATCAATAGATACCACTTAAATTTGGTTTTCTCATGGAAGCCCTTATTGTCTCCATTTGTACTGATTGACTATTTTGCGGGTATAGTCGTCTGGGGTGGCATTCATGATCTCTTAGAGTCTGTAGAACATCCATCCAGGCCCTTCTGGCTTTTAGCATCTCCATTGAGAAGTCGGGTATGATTTTAATAGGTCTATCTTTATATGTTACCTGGTCTTTTCCCCTTGCAACTTTTGATATTCTTTCTTCATTGTGTAAGTTTAGTGTTTTGATTATTATGCACTAAGGGTACTTTCTTTTCTGGTCCAGTCTGTTTGGTGTTCTGTATGTTTCTTACATCATGATAGGAGTCTGGGCTAGTTTTCTTTAAACTTGACACAAAGGAGGGGAACGTCAATTGAGAAGACGGTTCTGTAATATCCAGCTGTAGGGCATTTTCTTACTCAGTGATTGATGGGACGGGCCCAGGCCATCTTGGGTAGTGTTATCTGTGGGCTGGTGGTCCTGGGTTCTATAAGAAAGCAGGCTGAGCAAAGACACGACAGCAAGCTAGTAAGCAGCACCGCTCTGTGGCCTCTACATCAGCTCCTGCCTCTAGTTTTCTGTCCTGCTTGAAGTTTCCCGTATCAGTAAGGGACTCTCCATTCAGGTTTTGGTCTCAACCCAACATTGCCCTGACGCCACTCCGAGGTAGCTATCACTCTCCCTAAGGACTGTCGTTAGTGTCTGTGTCTCCCACAAACTATGGCACAGAGGCGGCCCATGACCCAAGAATAGATATTACATATTTCAGTGCTACAACAAAACTTGCGTGTCTTGAAGAAGAATATTTTCATGACCCGTGCAGTGTGAAATTTTAATTTTGCTTTCCGTATAAAGCTGGGCTGCTGTGATGCGCATTCAGTTTTCTGTTGTCTATGTCTGTCTTCAAACCACATTAGCAGAGTCCATCAGCCATGCTTACAATACTTTCAGAAATCCTTTCCTGACATGATTGGTGATGCACACTTATGTCCGTGTCTATGCAGACACACCAAGAGAGGAGGAAGTGTTAGGAAAGGGCTCACTTTGAACATGGTGGCCTCACTCCATGGGTTGGAACCCTTGGTAGAATAAATGAGTAAAGGGAAAGCCAGCAGCGCAACCTGGTCTTCTCATCCCAAAATGTGAACTTGTTCTGCCCTGCCTTGTGGTCCCTGCGGTGGCGAAGTGCCACTTTGGAGACTCTGAACCAAAACACCACCACCCCCAGCTGTTTCCACCAGGCGCTGGGAAGTGTTAGAAAGTAAAGTCGTAAAGTCATGTGCAGTCTTGACAGTGGTCCATTCTCAGGGTCCGGTCCCTACCCTGTGGGAAATCATAGCGCTTGAACGAACCTTTCCTGTCTCCCAAGGCGCCTCAAAGGTGAAGGGACAGCAGCCTTCCTCCTCCTTGGCTTCTTTCCTAAGACCTAAGGAAGCAGACTTGAGGGGCTCAGCCTGGATGCGGTGGAATGCCTGGCACACAGGACTGTCTCATTCATCTCGAAATACTTTGTTCGTAGCACAAGGCAGAGGGAAGGGGAAATGACTTCTGCAGGGTTTATTAAGAAGAAATTAAATAGTTCTGCAAGGGACTTAAGGCAGTGCGAGGTGCGCAAGACTGTTGAATGAATGGCTGCTCCCCCACCCCCCGAGTTTTCCTTCCTGTACAAGAATAAAACTCCCACCTTATTCTGAGTTACGAAATTTCTAAAGATCTAATAACAAAATATCTCTAGAAACCAACTACCGCCTTTGACAGTTGACACAGACTAAATTAAAGAATACGGGGTGCAAAAAGTTTTGCAAGCCACGCCCTATGCAAACGACAACACCCAAGTTATAGATTCATGAATGGAGGTACCTTTCCTTTTCCATCAGAGGAGTCGGGGGCGGGGCATGGTGTTTGGGGGGCGTGGTCGCCCCAAGGGGGCGGGACGAACACGGGGCGTGGCCTCCCTTCCCCCC